TCCGATACAGACATTCCCAGACTCATAGCATGCTGGTGCTGGCTATGATGTTGGTGTCCACTGTGATTAATAGACGTCGAATCAAGGTCAATGGCCGAAGTGAGGGGTTTGCCTGGTGACGGTGTGTAGACATGGGTGTTTGGCGCCGACATGTTGATAGGGCTACCCATGTTGGGACTTGATGTTGAAGGGCTCGGTGTGAGTGCCGACACCGACCTGGATGGGATGGATGTTGGTGGCAGGCTCAAACTGTTCATATTCCCATTGCTGAGGCTAGCTGACACGGGGCTGTGGGTGTTCTGACTGCGCATTGGCGGACTGTTTGAGGTTTTCACATCTGGAATAAAGAGAACAACAAACTATTATTTTGTGAAGTTGTGAATATAATTGATTAGCAATAAAGTGTAAGAGCTTCTCGGATAAAATATCATCGTACACGTGTCTTAAAATAAATTTAAATATATATCTAGATGGATTTGATCATTTGTTCAGGGTCTCAGCTAGCACAAAGGCAAGTGGGCCTCTGGTGGAGTGGGCCTCCTATAGCAAATAAAAATGCAATAAAGAAACAAGCACAGACAAATGTTTTAGTAATAAAAAGGAATAAGTTATCTTTACTCTATCAGTACAATGTGAGAGTAAATGTCACATAGGTTACACACACACACATATATATATATATATATATATATATATATATATATATATATATATATGCATGCTTCATTAAAACGACAGACAAGGTACTACGATTAAGCATTTTATTTAATTTTTCTTGTGTTCGAACAAGAGCATTCTTTTCTGGACAAAGGGTTTGTACGAACTGTCCAAATATTTTATAGTTCCGAGCGCTTTCGGCTATTCCTTTAGCCATTATCAATGATGATTCCATTTTTCAGCTTACTTCAGTCTGTGCGTTATGTGTATGCCTTAGTGTGTGGTAGGGATGTTTTTAATTTCAGAATATGGTTAGCACATTGTGGCTTTGTTCGTAATAACAAAAAGAAAAAGCCAACTCTTAAAAATATTAACTACGAATTACTTACCATTTAAGATTTTGTCTATTCATAGAGGTCATATGTATATTAGCTGATCTCAAATGCGTGAAACACAGGATTAGAAACTGCTATCCAGGCAACTGAATATGTTAGCTCTATCACGGATATTGAGCACTTTCCACTAAGTACCGAGCATATAATACACACACACACACACACACACACACACACACACACACACACACACACACATATATATATATATATATATTCAGTAATTAAAACAAACGAATGCCTTTTTCATGAGGTTTGCACTAAACTTTAAAGATTTATGACACAGGAACACAGATTTCAGAAAATTAAAACACTCATATATATATATATATATATATATATATATATATATATATATATATGTGTGTGTGTGTGTGTGTGTGTGTGTGTGTGTGTGTGTGTGTGTGTGTGTGTATGTATATAAGAAAATTTTATTGGTGATAAAACTTAAATTCCGCCATAAATAGACAAAAGTTAATTTTATTACCACTCATGATTAAAATTAAAAGGAAAAAAATGAAAAACAAGCTAGCTAAACGGTTTTAGAACCTCACTCAATTCAATATTTGAATTTAAGAACATATATATATATATATATATATATATATATATATATATATATATATATATATATATATTGCATGTAGAATTGGCGGGGACTTGAAAAGTTTTTGTCTATATATATCGGTGATATATACATTAGTTAATGATCGCAAATGAATATTTAGGTCTATCACGGATCTTGAGCACTTTCAACGAAAAACCGCGCATATATATATATATATATATATATATATATATATATATATATATATATATATATTGAAGAAAGGAAATATTAAGAATCTATCGGATTTCACTTCCTTTCAAATGTCCATCATCAACTTGTGTCTAGTGAATTAACGGTAAAGCAGTGAAGCGAATTAAGACGTAAATCTATTCAAACAGTCGAGATAAGATTGTAACTAGAAAACAGGTTTTTTATTTAAGGTGCGGAAAGAAGCGAAAGAAAACCGAAGAACATAAAAGAAAGAAAGAAAGAAAGAAAGAAAGAAAGAAAGAAAGAAAGAAAGAAAGAAAGAAAACGAGGAAGGAAGGAAGAAAGAAAGAAAACAAGGAAGGAAAGAAGGAAGAAAACAGAAAGAAAGAAAGAAAGAAAGAAAGAAAGAAAGAAAGAAAGAAAGAAAGAAAGAAAGAATAAAGTGAGAATGTTGTAGGGCCAACTTTTTATTTAAAGCGCAGTAATAAGCAAAAGTAAACAGAATTGCATAAAATAAAGAAAGAAAGTAAACAAGGAAGGAAGGAAGAAAACAGGAAGAAAGAAAGAAAGAAACTAAGAAACAAATAAGAAAGTAAGAAAATAAGAAAGAAAGAAAATAAGAAAGAAAGAAAATAAGAAAGAAAAAAAATAAGAAAGAAAGAAAATAAGAAAGAAGGAAAATAAGAAAGAAGGAAAATAAGAAAGAAACTTAGACTCTTGTAGCGCCTATCTTTTTTATTTGAGGTGGGAAAAAAGCAAAAAAAAAAAAACAACAGCATGAAAGAAAGAAAGAAAAAAGAAAGAAAGAAAGAACATTAGACTCTCTCTTATGTGCTTTCGAAAGTCATTAATCCAAACAAGGGATATACACTTCAATAGGGCATTTGAATGGTGTTTGAAGCAATGGGGTGTCGTATCTTAATATTAAAGCATTATTGGCTTGAAAGCGGTTACCCAGATCAAAAAGTGAATATAGTTTTAGTTTTTGTTGTTTTCTTTAATAAGACTTTCGAGCTATACGCCAGGAGACGTTAATTTCAATCCATTTTAGCTATGTCCCTATCGACTGATATCTTAACCAAAATCTCTCCTTACTGATATGTTACTATGATCAACAAAGATGGAGGGGGAATCAACACAGCGGAAATCTTTACCTAACAATTATATCATTTGGAGATGCAATGGCATCAACATATTTGTTACACGTATAGCTAACCTTCGTAACAGATTTACATAAGTGCTCAATAAATGTTCAAATGACTAATCTGTAGGTCGAATCAAAGTTTCGTGGATCCAACGCGAATCAGTCATTATGGTCATACATTTGACCACAATATGTATCCGTGAAACTTTAAACTCTGTCGGAAGAGAAGTGATTTGAAACGTTATTGAATTATTGGCTCTAGTTTTAAACTGAGCAAATTCGGAAAAACTTCTGCTCACTTTGATATACGATTAATTTTACGTATTTTACTACTCATTTCTAAATCTCGAAAATGTGGCATATGGGAACATCAACAATCCCTGTTGTAGTTGGAGCCCTAGGACTGGTTGGAAAAGATTGCAGTGGACTAATTGAAGGGATCCCTGGAAGTCCATGCCTCAAGGAGATACAAAAAATTGCTCTGACAGGTACAGCCCACACCTTACAAAGGGCTTTATCTATGTAATTTAATTTTTTTTTTTTTTTTTTTTTGTCAGTGGAAAGTGTCATTTCTAACCTTAGGTCCCTGGGCGGGACCCGGAAAGAAATGTGTAAACGCCAGAAATCAAAGAAAATAATAATAATAATAATAATAATAAGTAGTAGTAGTATTAGTAGTAGCAGCAGTAGTAGCAGTAGTAGTAGCAGTAGTAGTAGTAGTAGTAGTGTTGTTGTTGTTGTTATTGTTTCCTGTTTTGTATCCTGCAGAGCCAGTTCCAAACTTTGGCTTTTAGGCCCTATAGGAGAATTGTCATTTAATTGATAACACTTTTATTAGTATATGGGATGTTCCTAGTAAGGCGATTTTGTGGGCAACTTCTACGTTGATATTACCTGGGATATTGTTAGTAAAATTGTCCATTCCTTTTCTCACGAGGTCCAGATCTCCGATTACTATTAGTACAGTCTCAGTGTTCATTCTCCACATCCTGTTAATGTCGATCTCCAGGTCCTTGTATTTCAACAATTTCTCGATAAATTTTATGGAGACGCTTCTCTCAAATGGTACTGCGATGTCAATAAGCATACACTTCCTGAATTTCTTGTCTTTTATGGTAGTATCAGATCTGTTGTCTTTTATTTCCATGTCAATTTGAATTGGTAGGTCACAGAGGATAGTTACATCGTTAGGTAAGTCTCACAAGATAGTTACATCGTTAGGTAAGTTTCAGAGGATGTTTACATCGTTATTATTATTATTATTATTAGAATTATTATTAGAATTATTATTATTATTATTATTATTATTATTATTATAGATTAGATAGATAGATAGATAGATAGATAGATAGATAGATAGATAGATAGATAGATAGATACTGTAGAGATTTGTTGGCTCTCAAGTACTGTTTTTAAATTTAAGCAGTCTCTTACTGGAGGGGACATGAATCTGGAAACTAGTTATAAGGAAACCCATTCTTAATGGAGTATCTTTTATCAAAAAGAGAGTTGTCTCATTTTTTTCTTTCTCGGCTTTCAAGTATCGTTTTCAGGTGCTTTTTGACATAAATTGACTCTGAAGTTTAGCGATGTATTTCCCTCTCACTTTATCCATACACGGCCCTTAAGCATCTCACACATAAAAATATAATCGTACACACACGAAAAGGTGATATATATATATATATATATATATATATATATATATATATATATATATATATATATATAGATAGATAGATAGATAGATAGATAGATAATCTATAAATTCAATTGACTTATCTGGTGAGATTATTATTATTATACCTACATTAATGTGAAACTAAAATAATATAAATAATTATTACATTGCAAAAAATTTCAACAACATTTTCTCTTCTACAACAAAATTAAATCTAAAATAAGGTTTGAAGTAAGATTTTCTTTTATTTTTAAAAATGCATTTTAAACATTAGGTATCGATGAGAGAGAGAGAAAAAATGAGAGAGAGTGAGTGAGAGATATATATACTGACTTTGAAAGAAAGAAAGAAAATAGGCTTACATTAATTCATAGATAGATAGATAGATAGATAGATAGATAGATAGATAATGACCAAACTGAGATAGATAGATAGATAGATAGATAGATAGATAGATAGATAGATAGATAGATAGATAACCAAACTGAGATAGATAGATAGATAGATAGATAGATAGATAGATATATAGATAGATAGATAATGACCAAACTGAGATAGATAGATAGATAGATAGATAATGACCAATAGATAGATAGATAGATAGATAGATAGATAGATAGATAGATAGATAGATAGATAG